ATCCGCCATTTTGATTACCGTGTCAACCGGGTAGACGCCTTATTAAGAATGTACAGGCACTCAGTCTCCTGTATGCTGCCTGAGTATCGGAAGACATTGTTGTATTAAAAGGTAGTAAAGCTGAACATTTTAGTGACCAGAACTCACCCTGACTCTGGCTTCCGTGAGGTTCGTCCACATGGCGATCTCCTCCCTGGTGCTCATGTCGGGGTACCGGTTCCTAGCGAACGTGGCCTCCAGCTCCTGTAACTGCTGGCTGGTGAAGTGTGTCCGTTGACGACGTTGCCGTTTGTTCTTCTTGTCGTTCTTGCCGTCTTCAGGTTCGGGAGGGTCTGATGATGTTACACCGGCTTCAGTTTTGATCGGGTCTGTCAGGGATCTGCTTGCTGTAAAGAAACCTTCAGTCAAAACCAAGGCATACGGAATTCTGGTGTAAGGTCATTCAGCTGTCAAACCATTTTCTTTTTACGTCCACTTCTATAAAGGTAGTCATTGGAATTTTATATTTTAGTAAGATTTTGTCTGTAACTTCACCAAACTGGTTCTTTCTTCACAAACTACAAAGCTCTTTCGTATTATACCAACATTTCATCAAAATCCGACCGGTATTCTCCAAGTTATAGCGACGGAAATACGAGTATATCCACAAAAACATTATCTCATTTTCGAAATTCATCGGATGCAAGGAAATATTTCACACGACTTCTAATTTTGTAAAGCATGCTGGTGCTGGTTAGGAAGCCTCAACATTAAAGATTTTTCCGTTTTAATTCCCACGCCACTGTAGAGGAAAATTTCGAAAATAAGGTAGGTATTATGTTTTTTGTGCGTTATATGAAATGTACCTACATCACCAAAAATTATGACACTAATTTTCGCCTATCTGTCTGTCTGTCTGTCAGTCTGCCCGTCTATAACTTGGAAAGTGCCAGTTGGATGTTGCCTAGAACGTTTCTTTTGGAATGCCCTTAAGACTATTTCACATTAACGTCTTTCTAAACTAAACTAATTTGTCATTGAAAATGACTTCACTGTTTTTCGAAATATTCTCCATTATACTTTATTACACTTTTTCAAGCGTTCGAACCATTTTTCATAACACATTTTCCACTCCGCTTGAGATACCTCCAAAACATACTATATATGAACTAAATCGGGACTGTATGGAGGATGACCCATTAAATCAATATTCTCAGTGCTCAAATAGTCCTTTGTTGGATTTGGCTCGTCTTGAAACACCCATACAGACTACTGTTGTTTTCTTTCCGGCTCATAAGCATAGATCCATGATTCGTCACCAGGCGCGGATCCAGGGGGGGGGGGGTCATGGCCACTAAAATATGTTAAATAACGTGCATTACTACAGGATATATACTGGGCACTATTTGCGAAAGTGATATTCTCCACATTTATCGCTATTTGCAAAATAATGACGACAACTGAATATAAAAAAAATAGAAAGACCTGCACAATTAACCGAAACAAGCTCATGTATAGTGCAAAAGGGTTTTTAATAGTAATTTGATGCAAAAAGTTAATCTGATGCTGCTTAAACGTACCAATAAAATAGCTAATTCAACTGTTTCAATATTCACGCGGATCTAAAATTTTTCGATAACGTAAAATCCATCTAAATTGTTCAGATAAAGTTCGAACTACAGACTTTGCTGGCAATAAGGATGTCACTTATTAACAGGGGCTTACAATTATATGCACAATAGTAGCTACTGGGCACTTTTACCTCTGTTTTTTACTATATGTCTATATAACCTGAATTAAGTAGAGAATGTGAGATCAAAAATACGTTATTCAATACAAAATAACAGAATTATTCTAATTTGAATCCGCGTCTTGCTTTTCGTTCAGCAAAAACTTCCATCACATAATCCAAATTGAGTGTATTAGTTACTGATCTTTCGATATAGAGGATAGAGAAGTTGTTGAGTGTATCTTTAGCCTAAAAAGCTCGACGGTATTCTTTAATCATTTTCATAGAGGTTATGACACCTTCAGCACTAGCTGAACCGATAGGCAAACTCAAAAACAATCTGAGTAAACTGCAGCTCTCTGGAAAACTGTCTACAAAATTGTTTGTGCAATCATGAACTTCAAATAATCTAGCGGGCTGTCAATAATCATATTTTAGATCTGTAGTGAAAAATTCCGAATATTTTATCAAAAATAGTGACGCTCCATTTTGCCATTACTTAAGTCTGAGACTGTGACGGACAACCACCCCCCCCTCCCGAAGAGAAGACGAGAATATGAAGTTTTTTGACCAGTGTGACCACCCCCCCGCTCCCCCTAGACACAAATCCTGGATCCGCCGTTGTTCGTAACCTGTTACAATTTCATACAGGGCTTTTGAAGCGCCGCCGATGTATTTTTCGAGCATCTGTTTGCACCAATCGAACTTTTTCACAGTTAAATGATCATGTTACATTTTATGTTTGCTTGTGGAACTAATGCCTAAGGCTGCCTCAATCTCACAATATGTCACATGACGATCTTTCATTAGTTTTTGCACAGCATCAATGTTTTCTGGCACAATAATTGATTTTGGACGTTCTTCTCGACTCTCGTCACCAACAGAATGGCGGCCGCGATTTAATTGTATTCCTGCCTTGATAATTCACGTCGAAAGTCCAAATAGATCATCGCACGAAAATGTTCACAGGTCAATTCAATTTTTCATTGAGACACAGTTTTCAAATCGCTATCAACAACATACTATAAATCGTGCTGAAATGACAAAACGTTCTCAAGAAGCTTATGGATAAAAATGTCAGATGGAAGCTCAAAAAACATCGTATAAGTAATGTACTGGTTATGTTGAATGCCTCTTTTACAATTCGGTTAGGATTTGCAGCCTCAATACCTTGGTGTCGATAGACTCTGCTGTTCATAATGTTTTGACATGCACCTGCAAAGCATCAAGTCGTCTCAAATGTGGCGGTGGGATAGTGCTTAATATTGGAAGCTATTCTAAATGAGAGGCTCTAAAAGTTTCACCAATTATCCTCAAAGTCCTACTGAATATCTACCCTTTTAACACTTCAGCTGGTGAGCCAAATGAAGTACAATGTTCCGCATGCGAACAAGTTGAAGTATCAGAGCAGTACTGCTCTCCTGGTGGCCCAGTTTTTGAGTGGTGCCGAGATGGTGTAAAAAGCCAAGGCTACCTCGCTGAAAAGATAGTAGCGGTATTATAGGAGTCTGAGAGAAATAAACCCCACAGCTGTATCGGTAGAAAAGCACTAGGTTACTCAATAATGAGAATGTAGACAAGGAGTGCCGTCGATAGATTGGAAATTATTCAGGTGCTTATCACCAAGACACTTGTACATTGCAACACCTTTCATACTATGAATAGAATATATCCAGTGCACTCAAAGCAGAGCAAATATCCTAACCTTAATCGTTAATATGTATTTATTACATCATAGGTGGAGGGCGGAGGTTTCGGTAAGAATTAGTACCAAGAATCACTGAAGGTATTATAAAACACTCTAAGGGTAATTACATAACATATTCATGTGAATAAATTCTTATAATAGATTTTTAAGTAGATTTCCACAAACTCTTATCTTCTTATCATAACAATTACGGTCGATAATAAATAATATGTACTGTATTAACGTGAAGCACTTACAGATATGTGTACATACTTATACTAGAACCAAGCAACCAGACAAATTTTGAGTAAATATGTTTTACCATATATGTAATATTAAGCACCTTAGTTGATTAATTAGCTTTACGAAATTGTCTTTGATGCAAACAATGATACGTTCAAGTTTGTTTTTTAAAGACGAGAAGTAAGGACCTTTCTCATTTTCTATTTTTGTTACTCTTACCTAAATGTGTGTTGTATATTTCATCTGACCCTCTGCCTGACCGTTTGGAATCTTCTATTTTCTTCATTTCTCTTCTAAAGCTACTTATTTTAGCTTTCACACACTGTTTTGTACTATTTGGCTCAATTTCTTCTAATTTTTTCAATAAAACTGAATAAGCTGCATCTTTCTTAATTCGATCCTTGTAATCATCACTTTTAGTTTTCCATAAACAAGGATAACCTTTGTAAAGTTCAATAAAATCCGCCAGAAAGGCTTTTGAAAAGTTTCTTACATCAGACATTGTCAAAAGCAACGACAAACTGATAATAAACACGCGAGACACTGTACCCAAAATGCATGCGTGAAGAAGACACACACCGACAATCTTGTTTGCAAATTCGTGTTTGCGCGTTGATGAATTCCGACTAGTCTGGAAAACTTGTACGACGCACATGCTTGCGGCTTTTGCACCACACACCGGCAACCATCAACGCGTAAACGTGGTTGACATACATGTATGACGCACATGGTTGCTAATTTGTGGGCACCTTAACAGCGAACAAAACACACTTCGCTGGGGTGATTTGAGACGCTGATTTCGAATATTGGCATCAACAAATCCTAAAGTATCGCAAATTCCATTAACCTTTAAAGTTTTCCAATGTCATCGCTTGTGCCTGGTATGCCGGCCGCCACTTTTGAAATTTTTTGTAAATGAAATGGGGTTCACGTGATACCTCATTTTGAAGCTACTAATAAGACCTTCAGAATCCTAGAACATAAATGTATCAGAGGGCTTTGGCAATCACAAATACCGCTTACGCAAACGTTAATGGTAACCTCATTTCACATTTACCTCATATAAAGTCCAGGGGGGGGGGCATGTTTGGTTTACAGGTTTTTGGTGACAATTGAAGAGGGGGGGATGTGCATAATATCTGTTATGTTGGGATGTTCCACTTCTTACCCAAGGATATCTTATTAAGAATTTAAGAGTACTTATTTCACTTTGAAGCAGAATCCAGGGGGCGTATGCCCCCACTTGCCCCCCCCCCAATGGCCGCCCATGCATATTCGGATATATCCTTTCAAGAGATTGATATCACATGCGTGTAGATGATTGGTTGTTATTGCGACTCAATGTACGAGGGATGTCTTTTAAGTTTTGCATATGGTAATAAAACAACACGGTAGGTAGTTTTAAATGACTTTATTGTTTTTCGAAGTATTCTCCACGAAGATTAATACACATCTGCATGCGCTCGAACCAATTTTCTAAGCACTTATTCCACTCGTTTGCTGGCAGATCCAAAACGGCATATTTGAATGCGTCAACTGCTTCTTCTGGTGACTGGAACCTTTGACCACGCAGTCTGTTTTTAATTTTCGGGAAGGTAAAGAAATCGTTAGGACTTAGATCGGGACTATGTAATTCCACGTTCTCTTCCGTTAAATACTGCCTTGTTTCTTGGGCTGTGTGCGAGCTTGCATTGTCTTGGTGGAGGATGATTCTTCTTTCGGGGTTGATTTTTCGAAGCTCGCTGATGACTTTTGGCAAACAAATGGTGGTATACCAATCCGCAGTAACAGTTATTTGCTCATTAAGAGGAATTGTTGCAATATGACCCGCTTTTGACACAAATGTCGCGACCATCTTTTTCGAAACACTTCGAGAACGGATGACTTTTGTTGGCTTTTATTCACCTTGGAACACCCAAACAGCCGACTGTCGTTTATTTTCTGGTTCATAACAGTAAATCCACGATTCATCACCACTAACAATGCTGGACATATTTTTTGAGTTTCCGGAATTGAAACGGTCAAGCGTTTTTTGACCTTGGCTGCTTTCTGCTCTTCAGTCAACAGGTGGGGTATCCAACGAAAAACTAATTTTCTTACTCCTAATTCTTCATGTAAAATTTTTTGAATTAAGGTCTTTGAGATCTTCAAGGACGGCTCAATCTCGCGATATGTCACATGTCAATCTTTAATGATGAGTTTGCGCACAGCATCGACGTTTTCCTGGGTGACTGCCGTGTTTGGTGCACCCACCCTGGGATAGTCGCTAAGACTCACCCGTTCACGTTTGAATTCTCCACACCAACGGGAAATTGTCGACTGATGTGGCGCTTTGTTGCCGAAAACAGACAGTAACTCAGCAAGGCATTCTTGTTGCGATAATTGTCTCTGACAGTTGTAATAAATTATGGCGCGAAAATGTACTCGGTTGAGTTCCATTTTTCTAATGACTTGGTGACACTTAAAAATTCACTGTAGTGAGAACACTGCACGTATTGTTGTGAAACTTTGAATTTAAGTTTACTAAAGAGTGAGGTTAAGATTCAGTACTAAAGGTTCGATCCGCGCGGCCTACTATGTTTCTATATGCAAAACTTAAAAGACATCCCTCGTACAAAAACGCTTAAGTTCTGCCATTTGAAAAGAAAATGAATTTAAACTTGAAGCATATGAAGTACCAATAAAGATACCCGCTTTATAAATTGTAAGTAGGGGTTAAAAGCACTGTATCTATGTGAACTACTAATATAGGAGTAATAATGCCATATTTGTTCTAATTAAATGTTATTATAACCCAGTGTATCGACAACATTTATCTGTCCTAGCGATCGGTGAGTGACAAGTGAAGATGTCGGCATGAGCACCAATCGTTCGCCTGTCACCGTCGCATGATTGATCACAGGCGGCTTTGCCTCAAAGCACTTTCATAATAAAACCGCCATGCGATAAGTGTTCTGTGCTGTGTTATCTCACTGGCGGATGTTAATATGGTTGCCGCAGCGGCGATTAACGCGGCGCGTTTTACCGCCTGGCGATCGATTCGCGAATATTTCGGTAGCTGAAACGGCAGCAGCCAATCCGCGAACGGCGAGATAACGGTTGCGATGTCGCCATTTTCGAACTGTGTCAAGTGAGTGCGTCGTTCTTGGAAGGGGCTCACTGCTCACCGATCCAGGCTTCGAGTCATGAGGGAGGGTTCACTCAGAGCATGTTTCAATCCGATTGAAATAATAAATCTAATTTGAAAAATGATGAAGACTAAGTTGACTGTATACTTTATCTGAAGTCACTTCAAATAGCATAAAAACCTTTGGTCGGCGCGTCCTTTGTAATTTCATGACGTATCATAGGCGTGCGGTCATTTATTTAGAACGATAATAATAATGTTTTTATATCACAATAAATGGATTTTACTGTCTTCTTATTTTTTTGATTTGGGATAAAAAATACTTATATTGGGAGTTTAATTTATGTTGACTGAAAGTTAAGAAATGGAAAAATTACAGAATTCCAACGTTTGACATAGGCAAATATTTACATAGTAGGTAGGTATATAAAAAGGTATATGAAGACTTACATTATAGGTATTTATATATCATCCTCGCCTTCGGAGCTGTCGTTAGAGTCATCTTGTAGAGGAATTACAACGGGATTTACAGGAGGCAAAACACAATATTCATTTTCTTTTTCAATAATATGCCTAGAACACTGCTTCCATAGGTCTGTGGCAGCAATATGAGACACTACACTCTTATTGTGGCCAATAGCGATTCACTTAATTGAGGGGTCTGATTATGTTTTCTTACTTTTTTTTAAAGCAGCCCAGACCAACTCAATCGGGTTAAAAATGCAGTAATAGGGAGGTAGACGTAATACTACATGGCCATTTTGCTGAAGCAGATTGTCAACAACATACTCTTTTTCAATTTTTTTTCTTTTAATAAGATCCAATAATATGGCTTTGGTTGATTTTTGTGGTATTTCCATTCCCTTATCCTTCATAAAATCAATAATGTCTTGTTTTTTTGTGCCTGTATTCGGAATTTTGTTTTTCTGTCGGGAATGGTATGGCGCATTGTCCATAATAATCACTGAATTTGGGGAAATGTTTGGTATTAACTGCTGCTCTATCCACTTTTCAAATAAGTCGGAGGTCATGTCCTCATGATAGTCGGCACATGATTCTTTGATATTTTTGGCAGATAACAGCAAGGCATTAGGTATAAATCCATTTTCACTGTCAGCATGGAGAATAATGATTCGTTTTCCACGGTTGCATGGTGCATTTAAAATGCACTTGTTGCTGTCGTCAACCCAGCCGTACTGCACAACATCATGGGTATCATACCACGTTTCATCCAGGTAAATCAGATTTCTTTTCTGCTCTCTATAGATTTTAACTTTGTGCAAAAATTCTTGGCGCAATTCAACGATTCGAGACGACTCCATAATCACCATTCTTTTATCTAATTTTTTGTATTGAAAACCACACAGTTTTACAATACAGTGCAGTGAGTCTAAGCATTTGTAATTATAAAAATCTTCAGGATAACCTTTTAATTTATCCCGTATCATTTCCAACGTGGGCACCAAATTTTCTTTATAAAATCCTTATATTATACGACGAATATCTTCCTGAAAACTCACGTCTATTCTTTTTAATTTTTGCCCTATGCGCTTTCTGTGGAAGGAATGGTTGACTACATCTCCCCTTTTTATAACCCGATAAATGGTAGACCGACTGATTTTTGTCAGGATACAAATTCTGTTTAAAATTTGATTTTGCGAGGAATCTGGATTTTCGTTTTTCAGACAATCATACATATTTAGGATTACTGTTTGGGTCTGTTCCTCTAAATCTTTATGAAAGAATTCTGCCTGCACAGGTTCATCAACCATCTCCTCGTGGCTTGGAGCATTTTCCCAAGGACTCCAAAGAGCCATATTTAGGACACACAAGAACAATCAACACAACAATTAAATCAACAAGTAAACTGAGTATTCAAAAGTCAAAAACACACAAACTAATAAAATCTATGAAAAAACACGGACAGACTAAAGAAAACACGTTTATTCACCGCTACACGGCACTGGCTAAACTGTTTCAATTTTCAGTAGCCATCTGCACTTTTTCGGAGCTCTGAAATACACGCTTTCTCATTGGCTATGTCCACGCATAGGCGTGCTTTACTCCACGTGGACCGGGATATTTGCTGCGAAATTTGGCGATTTTTGCAGCAACAGAGCGTGTTAAATATTGGTATATAAAACGCACCCGGTATTTCACAGTGTTTCAAGTGACTTCAGATAAACTATACTTGCCACGCAACGCTGTCATCAGTTCGTAAAGGATTATGTTTGGCACAAGTTGGTCCTAAGTCGAAACTTAGCCAGGAAGATGTATAACAAAAAATTAAATGAACACATGTTCGTGGCGGTGATCAATTCCCATGGACAGTGCATACAACACACAACAGTGCGGAAGCGATTGCCGATTTTGACGTAGACCACCATCGTTGACGCTTGTCCATTGACGCACGTATCGATACCCGACTGTTGTGGATACTTCTAAGTTTTAAGGGTAAATGTATGAAGACATGTATAATGATGAGTGAATTACACCTAATAAGGTAGTAGTAGTTTATTAAAAAATAATGAAGAGGAAAAATGTGTTATCAAAAGATACATTCATAAAATATGCAATAATGAATTGAAATTTTATGTATATGTTACGGTTAAAGTATTTACTCAGCTAGTTTATATATTAGCTGGATAGTATATAAATTATGCAAAGGTAGATCGAAAATCATAGATTCACTAAGATTGCTACTACTATTGGTTTGTTTGTATACAATCCAGTTAGTCTATCAAATATACAAGATTTATCGCCAAAGTACAAACCACAAGAAAGTTATATAAATTAACAATAATTTGTGGCTAGTTCACAAACTATCCACAGTAGTTGGATAAAGTGTGAACTTAATATCACTAGTTTATACATAATGATCAATTCGTTGGTTAGTATGTAAACTAACCAATCCTCTTTGGCTAATTTAACTATGGATAGTAAAATAATTCTCTATCAAAAACATATTTTATTTTTAGGTACAACGTAACATTTCTATTAGGTACTACTCAACAATAGGAAAAAAGAAGTAACAGAAATAGTATTTGTATGGCAAAATATTAATAATAAACCCGACAACATTGAAGTTCTGAAACAAAGAACATTATTATTTATTGGAGCAAGTTGCACTGTTGTGGCACTTGCTGTTACAAGTATATCCGGTAGCAAAACATTTACACTTTTTATATATGTAAATCATAGATATTTACCACATAATAATCATTCTTGTTTTTAGGGTTAGGCCCAGATACACGTATTGTCTTTATACGTTGCAAAAGTTCAGTATAATCACTATCATTCATTAATTTTGAATTCTGCGACTTTTGGTCATAAAGTTCCAAGAGTATTTTTTTAAATTCTTGCTGTTGATTTATTTTCAATAGCTGGATGCTTATTTAGGAACGAATTTCACAGGATTCGATACTAAGCAATAACAAATGCTTGC